AATATTTGTATTGTTTTTATCTTGTTAAAAATTTCTTCAATAAAAATTATATTAAAAAAAAGAGAAATAATTCCTGATATGTGGACAATGGTGGAGCAATTTCAGGAGATAAATATCTTTAGCCCATCTCATTCTAGCTTAAATATTTTTGTGACATCGAGGTGGCTACTCTTGGAAGACTAAATGCCAGATTAGTTGGACACGTTGACCTGCTCAAAAGAGTGAAGTGAAGACTGGCCAATATGTTCATTGACTCACTATCCTCTTGATCTCCAAGAACGCATTCCAGAGGCATACTTAGAAAATAAAAGGGTGGCAATTGTCTTCTGATAAAAGGGTGTTTTATGATTGGCCACACCCACCATTTTACAAGAGTTCCCAAACAGGCTTTCAACATTCCAAATGTGCCTTCTGGCCACCAAAGTTGGGGTCCTCTGGTCTAGAATATCCCTACTTTGGCTTCTATGAGGAGATACTCAGATGACTGAACAGAAGGCACCATTTTAATAGCCTATCATCAAATGCCAGTAATTCAAGTGTGGGTTGGGGGGAATTTTAAGTTGCACAGATGGTTAATGGCCAAGCTTGGAAGATAAATCAAAGAACTGATTGCAAATTCCAGTGGGGACAGAGACAGTTTTACAACCCATATCTTAAGTGTTTCTTTCCCTTTGTCCAGTTTCTATTTGCCTCCCGACACAAATGAAATCTCTCATCCAGCTATAAATTTCCCCATGATTTAATACTCAGCTAGGAATCCCCTCCTCCTGATCTTTCACAAGACCAAATCAAGAAACCCCCCTTTTTCAGTATGCACAGAAATAGGAAATGAAACAGGTAGTTTTAACTGTAGCTCAGGAGGATCCATACCTTCCAACTCTGAGCACACTTCTTTAAAAGTCAGAGAAAATCAACAGGTAGAAATAAGGACATGAAAAAAAGGGCTCAAAATAGTATGGAAGTGCTTTTACTATCACGATAAACGGGGAGAGATATTAAATGGATGTTGCTTTTAACCCCTGGATTTTATTCATTGAAATAGCAACAATGGGTATCACTAGAAGCTTCTGTCCCAGAACAAATAAGGGAGAATGATTTGGGGAATGTTGACCTCAAATACACTAACAAGAGGATACTGTTTTTCTCCAAAATATTTTTAATAACCCAATTTTTTTAAAAAAAATAACTCAGGGTGCTTTGGGCCTAGTTTCTCTCTTCCCCTCTCAATTCCTCAATTTTCAGGAAAAAAAGGGTGTGCCCGTTGGGGAGAGATGAACAAGCTGTGAGGAGGGGCAAATAAATCTTCATCTGATTTGCTTTTCTTTTTAAGGTATCCAGAACTCTCTAGACTGCAGTGTGCTGGGCCTGCACCCAGTTGCTCAAGTGGAGTAATATCATGGATCAGACCTGTTATCAGATTCTCCAGTTTGATCCAAAGAGGAAACACAGAGATGCTTTGTCAAAAGAGTTAGAGAAATGCTACCACCATTGTTGCATGCTTTATTCCCAGTTTGTTCTGATGTTCTCCAAGCCATCTTTGTTTAATGTTGCCATAGGTTGCTGGTTTTTAAAACAGTGTGGTTGATACAAGGCTGTGGGTAGCCCTATTCTAACAGGGTCAAAGTTAAAGATACTGGGCCCCCAAGCGAGAACTGCCCAGAGTTTAAGAACATCTGCAGAAGCTCTTATGAACCTGCCCAACTGTTAGGTTTTTCAGCAGAAGCTTTCAAAGACAATGTGGGTGGTACCTCACTTGGAAAAGCCGGTTGCCAAAATAAGCCTCCAGACATCCATGCTTAGCTATGAGAAAAATATTAGAAACTGCTTTCCTAGCATTGGGGAGTATCGATTTCAGTTCTACAGCTGTGATCTTTTATTTCTGATTTTTTTTTTTATGTTTGATGTTTAGAAACCAATTTGAAGGCTTACCACAAAGCCATAAATGACACAGACACTGTAGTCATAGACTTGCAACAGTTCTTACCCATATGCTGAGCAGGTAGCATTAATAAGAGAGAAAGCATGCCAATGACAGGGGACATCGTTGGAGGTGCAAATGTCTCTTTTGTCTTCTGAAAACCTGCAAATAAAGGAAGAATCATAGCAAGAGGACTCATTCAGCATTTCTGTACATATGTTCATATAAAAAAGAGCATCAAGCAAGAATAAGCTTGGTTATATGACTACGCATATGCTTTTACCTCCACCCACTCCACCTCACCTTTTATGCACCCTTTATGCAGGCTACGAATTAAAACTATTCGGTATTATAAAAACACATAAAAAAAACAAAGGAAGCAAAAGTCACATGCAAGTACACCAATTCATGTGGTTGATGATTCATGTGGAAACAAGAGAACTTGGTCTCAAAGTTACCCCCTGCTTCAAAATCTATTTCAGCTTTAAGCGTGTATATCTTAAATCTCACACCCTTGAGACAAGAAGAGCAATTCAATCATATACCACACAAAGAACGAGCATTGAAAAAAAATGACCAAGAAGATCAAGGGCGTGGTATTAATAACAAAAAAACAAGATTGTGTTGTTCTTACAGATGCAGAGTTTATTAGTTATTT